AAAATAGAAAAAATTCCCACAATGGCAACTAAAAAAGCAAACATACAACAATGGCTGGCCTCAAAACAGATCGATTTTGATGAAACAATGGTCAAGGGTGAATTGATAAGTATAGTCAATAGACATAAATACAAATACGATTTTAAAATGATCGACGAAATGGCCAAAAAACAAAATAAAACTGTCTTGAGACTGCCACCCTACCATTGTGAGCTGAACCCTATTGAGCTGATTTGGGCCAACATAAAGCAATACGTGGCGTCGAATAATAATACTTATAAATTTTCTGATGTTAAAAATCTCTTTCACATCGCAGTCAATAGAGTTACGGCAGAGGAATGGAAAAACTGTATCCGCCACGTTCGGGAGAAGGTTGAGGTCAAAATGTGGGATTTGGACAATGTCATCGATACCCAAATTGAACCTCTAATAATTCATTTAAACGATTCAGAAGATTCAAGTTCCTCTTCTGAATGAGTGCGCGCAGCTTACTTACTAATAACTAAAAGTGTAGTTAACTCATTTGTGAATCTCTAACTGAAATTTACTGTAAAATATAATAATTATCTTGTATGAAATTTTTGATGACTACCCATAATATCTTGATGCGGTCCTGTAATGTCTCCTGCGCCTAAACACTCACTCACGAGCAATATGCGTGTATTTGTTTGGGTTTAGTTTCTTTCTTCAGCGCCTAGAGTATACTTCTTTTGTCGGCCATCGACTACCTGGGTAGTTATAGTACAGGAAGTATCGTCCTATCTGCTAAGCAAAATATTCTGATTGTTTTTTCGCACAATCTCATTAAAAAAAGACCCACTTTAATGAATCTGTATCTTGCTAGACCTAAAATTATTTTTCTTCTTTATTAAGGTTTTGCAAAAAACCTAATCAGAATATTTTCTCTAGAAGATGCGAAGATACTTCCTGGATTGTTACAGCAAGTAACGAATGCGTGATCGCATTCAAGTGGCAGGTAGTATTTGAGCCACTAGACGTATCATCTCGGCATAATCTGTTTTTTCGTGTTTCTTTTACTGGTAACTCTGTATTACTTCTTCAAATATAGTCTAATCATATTAGCAAATTTTCCCGAAATAATTGTAAAGTCTGGTTTTATTGGTGCAAGCTGTTCAAGGGTGTATTTAAAACATGGACGTATGAAACGGGTACACCAATTTTTTTTCGTTCCTGCCAGCACTTTCGATTGAATCCCACAAAACGTTTTCTCATTCTTTGTTGTCAAATAAAAAGTTTTCTCTGAAAAATTGGTGAACCCATTTTATGCGTCCATGTTTTGAATACCGCCTTGAACAGATTGCAGCAATAAAACCAGACTTTACAATTATTTCGCGGAGCAGGGTTATTTTCGTCTAATATGATTAGACTAATAACTATTTCACAAACTCTAACTTCCGCAGTTACCAGACGAGATCGTCTGATGATTTTAGGGGACCTAAATTCTTACTATCGATATGAAAACAGAATTTTCCACGTTTAGATCTATACAATCATCTACCAACAAGTACTCGTCAAATTACCATGACATTGTTTTTATTCCATATATTTCAGCCAGAGAAATATGCGTACTGTCGAATTTTTATATCTAATATACAGGGTGTTCCTTAATGATATGTGCACATTCAAGGGTGTGAATGTATTAATTGAAGAATGCAATTCAGCAATAAATATCTAGTTGCTCTGGAATATGTCACTGGCTTTTGACATCTGACAAGTTTCTGCTATTCAAATCTGTGAGTTGTGACATCTTTTTTATTATTTAGTTATTACAATCTTGTTAATAATGGTGAATTATTCAAATGCAGAAAGGGCATATGGCCTTGCCGACGGTAATGGTGAGCAAGCCAGACGGATTTATCACCAGAGACATCCCGATCGTTCTTTGCCAGATAGTCGAACTTTTTCTGATATTCATCGTCGTCTTGTTCTAACTGGTTCTGTGTGAAAAGGAACATCTGAAGGTAGACCTCTAAGTGTGAGAACACCTGAAATTGAGGAAGCAGTGCTTCACGAAGTCGAAGAACATCCTAAAACGCGTACGAGAAAGATCATTTCGTTGGTTTCAATGTTATGTTTATGCTGTCAGTTGTTATTGTTCATTACCCCTAATGTGTTTAATTTTTCCAATTAAATTAGTAATTATTTTGCAAGTTAGACAATAGAACAGTTTTTATTTTTTTTACTCAAAAATGGCGCATCGAAGGAAAGCAACGCAAGAGAGACCATTTCTTTTAAATTGAACGGGGAATTCAAAAATAAATTTATTTGGCAAACAAATCATTGACGTACCATTCTTTCCTTAAAAAATGTCGAAGTCACTACCCGTACGCACACCACTGTTAAAGCTAAAAATTATTTTTGCATTGAAAAATATGCAACTTTATTAACTTCCACAACGTACTAAATATCAGTGAAATATCTGAAGCGGTTCTGAAGATATTAATCAATTTCCATTTTTTTCCTAAAACTTCAACACCCCGAGTTTTTTTAAGGAAACATTTTTGGACGACAGTTTATAATGCAAACTAACATTAATTTTTTATGTAGATTCACACCCTTAAATATCCGCATATCATTAAGGAAGACCCTGTATTTCTATGTTGTTACCTGTACCTCTGTTTTTCTGTGATCGTCTTTGCCGAAAGGCCACCTTGGTTAAATTTTCATTTTTCTTGACATGTGTCATGTCTTTGTCATGATCAGATGAAATATATATCTATTTATCTATCTACTCGAATTCATTGGGTATACAGGGTGTTTCAGTTTATTGTTGCATAACTTTAAGATTCGATAGAACTTTTAAAATTAATGCATAAAGTCTATATAAAGATGGGTCGAAAACTGCGTGGCTTCCGAAATACAGGGTGTTTAAATTTACTTTCTAAAATAGTTTTTTTTAAATATTTCGAACAACATTTGATGTATTAACAGTGAAAATTGGTATCCAAGGGTTTTTTGGTACGACAAAACGAACCATGAGCATAGTTTTACTATAACCGCTAGAGGGCGCTCTCTACCGTACCTGTAGTGTATTAAAATCACCGAAAATTTTTTCATAGTGCAATTTTTTGCTTTTTGAAAAAAAACTGTCTTCGCACTTTTCAACATAAAAAAGCTTTCCTGTGAGTTTTCGTTATAGTTAGCCGTTTTTGAGATATTTCGATTTTTAAGGTTCGATGCATTTTTTTTACATTTTCGATTTGGGCATTACAAGTAATTAAGATGATCGTTTAGATTGTGTTTTTAAACACAGCAATAATTCCTAACTCCAAATAAACACAAAAAACAGAATATTAATTTGTTAAATTTTCCAATATTATTTTTAACAAATTAAATTAATTATTTACAACTAAAATGCTATTGGATAGTTAGGACAAACATACACTTTTTCTTATAGAAATCCCCACACAATTTAGGTCAGAGGATCGTGGAGGCCAGGCGACTTTTTCTCCACGGCCGATCCATTTTTCTGGACAATTTTCGTCCAGCCAGTTTCTAACTATTCTCGAATAATGAGCTGGACAACCATCAAGCTGGAACCAGGCAAATCTTCTTAAATCTAACATAACATCATCTCAAGTATTTGCATGTTCAGCCTTTAAAAATTCCAAGAAGGTCGCAGCATTTAACCTTGCAGGCAAAAGGTAGGGTCCAAATAGTCGAGTACGGTAGATACCAATCCACACGTTCACACTAAATTCATGCTGAAAATTTCTTTCCCGAACTGCATGCGGATTTTCATGCGACCAAATATGTTGATTATGAAAATTTACCACTCCCCCGTCTAGTGAAGCATGACTCATCGGTCCATAAAATGTTACCTAAAAACTCCTTATTATTATCAGTTCTATCAAGAATCCACTGACAAAATGTGATTCTTCGTTCTCCGTCCCCTGGCTGTAGTCCTTGCACAGGTTGCAAATGGTAAGGACGTCTATGGTCATTTCTAAGAACACGATGAACATGGCTTGCTGAAATTCCCAAGGCACCAGAAACTCTCCTAACACTTGTGGTCGGATCTCTATCAAACTCACGCAGAATCATACGGGTTAATCTGCGCTGACGAAAATTTATGTTTTGATCCCTTTGGAGATTTCCAAAACCATTTTCAATTATTTGGCGATGCATTCTTACAAATACTGAGCGAGTTGGATGTCGTCTGTTTGGAAATCTTCGTGCGTATTCTCTGGCTGCTTCTGCTGCGTTTCCATTTACAAAGCCATACACAAAATGAATATCCGCTAACTCTTGATTGGAGAATAAAAATGGCATTTTTATAAAACTTACAAAAAAAACAGGTAAAAGAAACTAAATTTCGTGCATTCACAATTGCAAAAAAACCTTTCAGGTTTCAACAGATAACAAAACTAACTGTCAACTACTCGTAATTGACGTTTAACCTTATTCTGCTTTCAATTTCAAAAATATTTGCAGGCACAGCCTGCTTCTAAAAATTATCAAGATACTGACTTTTTAACGTTATTTTATCATAAATAATTAAAAATGCATCGAACCTTAAAAATCCAAATATCTCAAAAACGGCTGACTATAACGAAAATTCACAAGAAAGCTTTTGTATGTTGAAAAGTGCGAAGAATTAGTTTTTTTATTCAAAAAGCAAAAAATTGCACTAAGAAAAAATTTCGGTCATTTTAATACACTACAGGTACAGTAGAGAGCGCCCTCTAGCGGCTACAGTAAAACTATGCCCATGGCTCGTTTTATCGTACCAAAGAACCCTTGTACACCAATTTTTACTGTTATACATCAAATATTGTTCGAAATATTAAAAAAAAACTATTTTAGAAAGTAAATTTAAAAACCCTGTATTTCGGAAGCCACGCATTTTTCGACCCATGTTTATATAGACTTTATGCATTAATTTTAAAAGTTCTATCGAATCTTAAAGTTAAGCAACAATAAACTGAAACACCCTGTATAATACTGACCTACCAGCATTGTCGGAGATTGCCACTGACCTTAAAATTGCAGCAGATGATGACAGTGGCTGGAAGAAGGAGGGTAAAGGCAGTGTAAAGAGTGGTATACCACAGGGTTCCTGCGCCCGTGGAGAAACTCGGTCCACAAGCTCCGATTCCTGGGTTGTACGTATAAGGAGCCACGGTAAACAGTGGTGGAATGCACAGCAAGAACGAGATCACCCAGCCCGCGCCTAGTCCCACAACAACCTGGAATCATACACAGCGTGTTGCAGAATGTTGTGAGGGAAAATTTGACACCGTTATGCAACAAGGAACCAACCGAAAAAACGGTAAAAAATTAAATTACTAAATAACTTTATGCGAACCAAGATTTTCATCCAGGGATAGGCAAGACATGTTATATTACCATACAATACCCTACAATTTATTGATCACATTATACAGGTTGTAAACGTTATGGTAGTCATTATTGAAATGGGTAATAGGGGGGGGGGTGGTCAAATCAAGTGAAAAAGTTGATATGACCCATGGTCCAAAAGACAATAGATTTTTGTCTAAATGGCTTTAAGTGCTTTATATCGACCACAATCACCACAATCTTACTAATTTTTATAATCTAATCTAAAAAGTTTTTCTAAGTCAAATCAAAATTTGTAGTCAGTAAGTAAGTTTCATTAAATACCCTTATCGAACCGGCAATCGATCGCAAACGGTAACAGTGGTTAGTTATTGTTCGCGTACGTCGTCGTTTTTATTTACAATGTTCCCGAATCAAGAGTTCGCTGACATGTTGTTAGTTTACGGTGAAGCTCGTCAGAATTCAAATCTTGCAGCTCAAATTTAACGCGACAGATTTCGTCAACGGGTACGCCTAGATAGAAGAACATTTGTGCAAGTGTACCAAAGACTTCGAAATACAGGAAGTGTTCAGCCCACTAATATTCGCAAGAAGGGATATTAAATTTCCATAATACTCACACGTGGGAACAAGAAAATCTTCATACCATTCGTGAAGGTCATTTCCATCAACGTTTTAAAATAAATATTTGGATGGGTATTCTTGACGATCAGGTAATTCGAGTTACCCCCAAAGTTGTCAGGATAAGGATACCTTTCTAGCCAATAACCTACCAGAACTTTTGGAACAGACCTTAGACAACATGCCATTACAACGAAGACAGAATTTGTGGTTTCTTCATGACGGGGCAATACCACACATTTTTATAGGCGTCATTCAGTATTTGAATGAACATTATCCAAATCGCTGGATCGGTCGAAATGCTCCTGATCCTCGAAAATGGCCAGCAAGATCTAATGACCTCAATCTCATCGATTTCTGGTATTGGGGAGAACTTAAAGGGATGGTTTATGGGGCTGGTCCAATAACAACTGAGGCACAACTTCGCGAAAAAAAATTTAATGCGGCTTAGATAATAAATGGACAACTTCGAGGACCTAGAGTAAGAAGAACCTGGGTGCGTCGTAATGAAGCTTGTGTGGAAAGTGGAGGACGACATTTTGAACACTTTCTTTAAATACAAAAAAAGTGCAGTGTGGGTTTTGAAAATAAAAAACAATGTATGTATCAAATTTGTTTTCCCTATTTATAAGTGGATTTTTTTAATACGTTCAATAAGCTTTCACACACCAGGTGAATAGCTGAGACAGTTGTTAGAGATAAGTCCGTTTTTTTTAATTTTTTGCATATTACGAGTACATTATCAAATAATGAAATAATGTCTAAGAGCCAAAAATAACAAACTCCATCTTTATTTACACTGCGTTCCGTCGTAAATTTGCGCCTGACATTGCGGCGTTGTCAGACTTTATTTTACTTTAAAGTCGCTCTTCTCTAAAAAAATGCCGTATTGACCCCCATATTATATGAAACTTTTTGCTTATTTTAACACCCTCTATAACCCATTTAAATATTGACTATCATAACGTTTACACCCTGTATATTTACAATGCGCATATGAGGCATTACAATCTAATTTATTATCTAGCCTCAACGTACTCATCAACTGAATAGAAACAGTGGTGAAGCAATGCTTTTCAAGAAAACTTTGAGAAGCAGCGATTAGACATATTTTGAAAATTATGTTTTGCTATTTGCATTGAACAATAAATTATACAATTTAAAGGTGGGTCTGTTATTTTTAGTCATATTCAGCCGCGAGTATGGATTCCTTAGGTAATTAACATTACGTATGCTTGGGTGAGTATTTCTGCAGAGGTTTGATATGTGTTTAGATTTCCGAGCACATAACATAGTACTTCAAAATATATTGATGGAAGCGGTAATATTTGTAGATTTTTGAAGCGATTTCTACACGTTGATCCATAACGGGAATTTGTATTTATCCCCAAAACCGTTTTGTAGATGCTACTGCGGCATTGTGACACATGTAATGAAACTATGAAACATGCTGAAGTACACTACATAACTATTATTAAGAGTTTTAGCTTTATGTTCATATAATGTTTTTTGTGTAAATACACAAATGCTTTTGGTTGGTTCCTTGTTATGCAACGGTGTTCAATTAAAAGGCAGATTCAGCACGTAAATTAGGAAAAATATTCACGGAAATGGAAATACTCTGTTTCAAACTGTATGTTTAGAGAGAAGTTATATGTCACTAGTTTCGCAAATATAAATCGCAGGTCCGCCTCTAGCTGGAGATTCGCGTGCAATAACGATCATGCCGGAATAAGGCAGCGCAAAGCGCCATCTATTACCAGAATCAACAGCTGCGAGAGTATATAGCAATTATCAGTTGGAACTGTAAAGGTCTCAGTTTGCGTTTGCTTGCTTGCTTGCCATGGATGGCTGTTTCGTGCATTCCGGCAACTGAGGAAAGGTATTTTCGACAAAGGTCACGATCAGGTATCCACTAACTTTGAATAAATTGTTCAATGCTGAGCTTGGTTTTGACCTTGAGCCTCACCTTCAAGTCTGTTTCCTCCCTTTTCAACAGCGGCAGCGGAAAAAACCGGCATATTGTACTTCCGAGTATGTGTTAAAATCTAAGACCAAGGTCACCTTCAGAGGTCAAATACGTGAGGCTAGAACAAATTCCCAGGTGCTTAGCAGGATTCTTAAGGAAAAAATCATAGAAGAACCTTCAGTAATTATTATTTCAATATTGACCTTGACTTTGGCTTCAAGTCTCACCTTTAGGGTCATAATAGTGTAAGTATCGTGAAATTTTATATTGTCGGACTTTAAAACTGAAGTTCAAGGTTTATTCAGAGGTGACAATTGAAACCATTCTTAAACGTTGCTAAGGACCTATTCTTAATTAATTTGTCCTGCTAATACTTTGCGACTCCTAGCATCAAAAGGTTGACCCTCATTTGAGGTGACCTTGATCTTCCAGTTTTTCTATTGCCTGTGTGAATATACCGAGTATGTTTTAAAATCTAAGACCAAGGTCACCTTCAGAGGTCAAATACGTGAGGCTAGGACAAATTCCTAGGTGCTTAGCAGGATTCTTAAGGAAAAAATCATAGAAGAACCTTCAGTAATTAGAATTTCAATATTGACCTTGACTTTGGCTTCAAGTCTCACCTTTAGGGTCATAATAGTGTAAGTATCGTGAAATTTTATATTGTCGGACTTTAAAACTGAAGTTCAAGGTTTATTCTCAGGTGACAATTGAAACCCTTTTTAAACGTTGCTAAGGACCTATTCTTAATTAATTTGTCCTGCTAATACTTTGCGACTCCTAGCATCACAAAGTTGACCCTCATTTGAGGTGACCTTGATCTTCCAGTTTTTCTATTGCCTGTGTGAATATACCAGAGTTTATTTTTAAGAATACCTTTATTTCTTTCAGAGCTCGAATCTTCGCCGCGGAACTTAGTTCGCGTTTGTGACCGCTGGAGGCTGACGATTCAAACATGCTACTTTCACCCGTTTAATCATAGACAGCCATGGGTGGCTGTTTTGTGCTTTCCGGCAACTGAGGAAAGGTATTTTCGAAAAAGGTCACGATCAGGTATTCACTAACTTTGAATAAATTGTTCAATGCTGAGCTTGGTTTTGACCTTGAGCCTCACCTTCAAGTCTGTTTCAAGGTCAACTTTTGCAATTTAAATTAAAAAAGCTCCCTTCTCAACAGCGGCAGCGGAAAAAACCGGCATATTGTACTTCCGAGTATGTTTTAAAATCTAAGACCAAGGTCACCTTCAGAGGTCAATACGTGGGGCTAGGACAAATTCCTAGGTGCTTAGCAGGATTCTTAAGGAAAAAATCATAGAAAAACCTTCAGTAATTAGAATTTCAATATTTACCTTGACTTTGGCTTCAAGTCTCACCTTTAGGGTCATAATAGTGTAAGTTTCGTGAAATTTTATATTGTCGGACTTTAAAGCTGAAGTTCAAGGTTTGTTCCGAGGTGACAATTGAAACCCTTCTTAAACGTTGCTAAGGACCTATTCTTAATTAATTAGTCCTGCTAATACTTTACGACTGCTAGCATCACAAAGTTGACTCGCATTTGAGGTGACCTTGATCTTCTAGTTTTTCTATTGCCTGTGTCAATATACCAGATTTTATTTTTTAAGAATACCTTTATTTCTTTCAGAGCTCGAATCTTCGCCGCGGAACTCAGTTTGCGTTTGTGACCGCTGCAAACATGCTACTTTCACCCGTTTAATCATAGACAGCCATGGGTGGCTGTTTCGTGCTTTCCGGCAACTGAGGAAAGTTATTTTTTATAAAGGTCACGATCAGGTATTCCCTAACTTTGAATAAATTGTTCAATGCTGAGCTTGGTTTTGACCTTGAGCCTCACCTTCAACGCTGATTCAAGGTCAACTTTTGCAATTTAAATTAAAAGCTCCCTTCTCAACAGCGGCAGCGGAAAAAACCGGCATATTGTACTTCCGAGTATGTTTTAAAATCTAAGACCAAGGTCACCTTCAGAGGTCAAATACGTGAGGCTAGGACAAATTCCTAGGTGCTTAGCAGGATTCTTAAGGAAAAAATCATAGAAGAACCTTCAGTAATTAGAATTTCAATATTGACCTTGACTTTGGCTTCAAGTCTCACCGTTAGGGTCATAATAGTGTAAGTTTCGTGAAATTTTATATTGTCGGACTTTAAAGCTGAAGTTCAAGGTTTGTTCCGAGGTGACAATTGAAACCCTTCTTAAACGTTGCTAAGGACCTATTCTTAATTAATTTGTCCTGCTAATACTTTATGACTCCTAGCATCACAAAGTTGACTCGCATTTGAGGTGACCTTGATCTTCTAGTTTTTCTATTGCCTGTGTCAATATACCAGATTTTGTTTTTTAAGAATACCTTTGTTTCTCTCAGAGGGCAAGCGGGCAGGGGCGTAGCTATCCTAGGGCAAACCGGGGCAGTGCCCCCGGGGCCCCGGCTTATATTGGGCCCCGGCCATGCGCCTCAAAAAAATTGTTTTTAAGCGCAGATCAGCAATAAATTCCTTAAGTGCTAATATAACCTAGGTATACTAGAAAGAAAAATACATAGTAAATATACTAAGTGACATATAAATCCGAACATCCAGTTTAAATGGTTTTATTTTAATAAAATTTTGTATAAGTACTTAATGAAGCATAATAAGTAAATGATAAAAATTTCAAAATGATTGCACTGCTTTAAAGCTCTTTGACCTTTAATAATGTGTGGATGCACCCTGATGTGCTACGCATTCTCCAACGCGCCTAGGCATGCTTCTGATCAGGTGGTCAATGTCCTCCTGTGGTATCTCATTCCAGGCAACCACCAACTCCTCTCGAAGTGCTTCTAGAGTCTGAGGAGGACGTTGCAAATTGAGCAATCTCCTACCCATCATATCCCACACGTGCTCAATTGGGGATAAGTCGGGAGATCTTGGTGGCCATGGTAACAATGTGACATCATTATGTTGAAAGAAGTCTATTGTGACTCTTGCAACACGTGGTCGGGCATTATCTTGTTGGAAAGTTGGATCTGCCAGGGTGTCAAGATAGGGTAAAAGATGGGGTTCTAGAACTTCGTGGATATAACGCTGCGCGTTCATGTTACCTCTGATGAAGATTAAAGGTGACCTGGCACCATACGCTATAGCACCCCAAACCATTCGTCGGTAAACACTTCGCATGTCAATAGGTCTTCTGTGTTCTGCAAACCATTCATTTGCAATGGACCTGGTAGTGGAGAAATGGTCCCTTAAGGCCAATAATCTTAGGCGGCGATCTTCATGGTCTGTTGTTCTACGGCGGCGTCCAGTGCCCCTTGCTCTTTGCGTACGGCCTTCTCGAAGCCATGCCTGACAACACCTAACCACAGTGTCTACACTTCTTTCCACTCTAACTGCAATTGCCCGAAAAGAAAGTCCAGCTTCCCGAAGTCCCACTATACGGCCGCTATCAAACTCACTAAGATGACGAAATCGTACAGGTCTCCGTACTCTAGGCATCGTAACCGATCGTAAAGGATGTCAAGAACCAAAATCCGCCAACGTTGATTCTTTACTGCGGCTGAAATATTCATTTTTAGAGCGTTAGTGAATTAAAAAAAAGCAGTATAAAAACCGGAACGTCCAACTGATAAGGCTGAAAATTTTTTCACTTGTTATTTACAGTAAGATAAATACATTCACCAACTTTTATTAAAATAAAACCATTTAAACTGGGTGTTCGGATTTATATGTCACTTAGTATATAATGATAAATAATGTTTATTTTTTGAAACGCTACATATTTGAGGAAAACGCTTGCGTTCCTAATCCGTCGGACCGCGACGGGCTTGACACCACCGCCTTAATATTACGTCTCGTCTTTGGGGATTCCGCGATCTATTGTTTTGATGATTTTAACTACCCAGCGTGCCCTATGTGATATTGATATGTGCCGTAGTCGTGCCGTGGTGCCCGGCGTGGTGTAAAATAACATTACTATATTTGTATTGTGACTATTGTGTCTCGTTATAATAAGGTACCTATTAGAAAAAAAGGTAAGTGTAAGTTATATTACTTAATGAATAACTGGCTCGATTTTGATTTGTGCGTAATTTTGTTTGTAAATGTACATTTGTCCATTACCTTACTGAGTAAAGGTGCCCGCAGAATCTCCGTAACGTAAGACTTAAGACTTAACCGCAAGGAATTATACAGAATACTGATCAGGTGATTTATAAAGTATAGTCAAGACTTAAGCCTTAAGGCATGAGAAATTACGTTACAGCTTAAGGCTTAAGTCTGGGCTTAAGTCTTATGTTACGGAAACTCTGCGGGCACCTTATACCCGACACTAAATTCGAAAAGCTTCTTAAAGACTAAAAATGATCTGTTGACTGTTTCAAAAATATCGACTAATTTTTTTTCTCCTAAGTATATAGTATATCGAACAAATTGTTAGAAATGACGAAAAAAAATCCTGTAAAAGTTACAGCTCTTTAACATGTTTTCATTAACATGGGAAAAAATTGTTTTCAACTTTTGAATTTTTTTCTCATTACTAAATTACCATACGGATGAGTTCATAGTTTGCTCTTGTAGGGAATTGGAGGCTTTACAAAAAAGGTATCTTACAATTTTCGGATAAACTTACTCGTTCAAAAGTTTTTCGAGGGAAATTGAAATTTGCGATGCGGCACCACTTAATATTAATATTAAGAGCTGTTACTTTTACAGGATTTTTTTTCGTCATTTGTAACAATATTTTCGACGTACTTGAGAGAAAAAAGTAGACGATTTTTTTGAAACAGTCTAATTGATACACAACTATCGAACTATTTAATGCCTTCAAAAATGTTGTGTATTCTTCTCTTTGCAGAATTAGCAGATTGCGGAACAAAACGCTAAAAAATAAAAATGGAAGATAAGCGGAAATATCAGTCATATATTCTTTTTTTGGTTTAAGTATTGATATATGGGATCTTTTAGCTTCTTTTACCAGTGAATCCAAAACAACTTTAAAAACATTAAATCCAACTCGTTGGTCAGGAAGGATATTGTCTATTAGTGCTGTCAAACTTCGTTATTTTGATATTATTAAATCTTTAACAGAAATAGAGTTACAGTCTCATAAAAAAGAAGAAAGAGAAGAAGCTTCTTCCATTAAAAAACAAATGTGTTGCTTTGAATTTGTATTTATTTCAACAATGTTGTATAAAATCTTTACCCAGGTTAACTTCGCCTCAAAGGTCCTTCAAAGAAAAATATTGATTTAAGTGAATCTGTGACTGTTTTAGAACAAGTAGAAAAGAACCTTACTGACTTGAGATCTTCTAAGGAAATTTTATTGATTGAACCTACGGAACTGGCTAACAAATTGAATATTCAACCGGAATTCAGGCAAAAACGTCAACCTGAAGTTAAAAAACGAACTCTTAAGTGATTACAGATTTAATAATAATCAAATTTTATTTAAAATAAATGTTTTTAATGTCGTTATGAACCGTGTTCTGAGACAGATTTCTAATAGATATAGGAGCATGAAAAAAATTTATAAATTGTTTGATTTACTTCTTCCAAAAATTATATTAAGTTGCGATGAAACATCCATTAAATGTACAGCCATTTATAACAAATATCCTGAAATATTTGATTTAAATAATTTAATATTTCAGTATACCAATTTGTTAAATGTTTGTAAAAGAGACCTTAAGAATGATCTATCAATTAAGGAATATTTCAATATAATTTTAAGTAAGTATGGGGTACTTGAAAGCGACTTAAGTGAAGTTTACTTAATGTTCCTTTTATTTTTTACGTTGCCTGTAACTATTGCATTTGTTGAAAGATCATTTAACAAGCAAAACCTTGATATAAATGATAATTATCAACGAATTTGCAAATAGAAAAGCAAGAAAAAGGGATTTTTAATTTTATTATTGTTTAATTAGTGACTTTTGTTATTTCATTATTTTAATTTGTGTTACTTTTTGTAATTATGACAATAAATAATTTTTTTATTATAACATGATATTTTTTATTCTTAAACATACTCATGAGGGCTCCCAAAAAATGATTGCCCCGGGGCCCCATGACTTCCGAGCCATCGATAATGTGTTACGTGTTGTCTATATCACGCACCAGATCAATAATCAGTTACCAGTAGATGGCTTTTAGAGAAATATAGTGTTGATTCAACGGGGTGATCTACTACTACTACTACTTTTACTGCTACTACTTTTTTCTCTCAACTCACCTTCTTAGGACTGACGATATGGCTGTAATGCAAGGGAGCAGCTATGACGTAATACCGGTCGCAGTTCAGCCCACAGATGGTCCACAGAGCTAGAGGATGTAGGAGAGTGAACAGGAAGCCATGGATGATACAGGGCGCTCCGGCTGTTGACCATTCGGCGCCTTTGAAGCCTGGGATGGAGAAAATTAGAGCCAGGATGCCCAGTAGGATGTCTACTGATCCTAAGTGAAACAGAAGGATGTTGTTCGCGGTTCTAACCTGAAACAAACATGAATGTCACGTAGATAGTTGAAATTTGCAGATAACAAATTACGCCAAGTAGGTTGATTGTGTACTTGCCACCCGATTCGTTTATTATTTTTATTATTAATGTTCTATCAGACCTGGCTGACAAGTATAGGGATAAGTCAAATTACAAATTTAAATTTGAGTTAGTTACAGAGTATGTAATCTACAAAGAACAATATAAATAGATTAAATACATGTATACAGGGTGGTCCTTCCATATGTGGACGGAATATTACTCACAAACAAATTGATTTTGGAAAAAATTCATGGCATGTTCTACATGACATTTGAGGACACATTTCTAAAATATTGGCAATTTTGACCTACATATCAAAGTTGTGATTTTTTAAATAGAATGGCTCAAATTTTATTGCATATTTGGATAAACCAATTCTAAAGAAGAAGATTGATATAACATACTATGGGGTTTTGGTAATTAGCTACTGAGATGTAAGGTGTTTTGTCCAGAAAAACCGTCAAGGTATAACAAATAGAAAAAATAATGGACAAAATCCGCAAAAAGAAGGAAAGTGGATTCGAGCAGAAAATAGGATAGGTAACGCGAGCGATACGTATTTCTGATTGCCGGCTTCATCAGGCCCAAAGGCAAATGTTTATTGGGATTGATATTCATGCATTGGGGGGTTGTGCAGGAACTTTGTAAAGTAACCATTCCTTTGTTTAACTGCAGGTCTGCTCAGGATCATTATTCTGCTGAACAATAAACGCTTCCCTGATCCTCATTTTTTTCAGCAATGCTGTTCAAGTTGCTGCGCAAAATATTGACATACTTGTCTGCATTCATAATGCCTTCGTTGCCTTTCATTTCACTGTTGGGCTGACATGTCGCATTTTCAAATTAAGGGTTAGGTTTTTCTCTACATATTTGCAATCATCAAAGCCGAAAACTTGAATATGTATGGAGATAACCTAACCTTACTTTGAAATAAGAATGACAGACCAACAGTGAAACATGGTGTTAGGAGCGTTTTAGTTTGGTTTTACGGACAAAGGACCAGTTCTGGATGTTCGAACCTCAACATGGTTAGGATGGGTGTCTGGCAGATTCATTGCGCGGCAGGAGAGCGCTGAGGAGCAGAACCTGTTGACATAGCAGTAAAAGTGAGCCAGATCGTCCACCACCTGTCGGTGCGAAAGGGTTCTGAGACTGTCTGCTAGGGAAGAGTCTTCGATAAGTCAGACAGTCCTCCTCTGAAGAGCATCGAGCGCGGATGAATGGAATTACTCACTATTACTTCCCCGCCAGTTAACGTAGAAAGCAAAATGATAGCAAAGGAAATAGTTTAGCACATTTTTATAAAAAAACTCGATCAAATGAGTGTTGCCCACCGAGGAATCAATGGTTTTTACCATTGGAGAACCAACCATGTATGTCAAGTTCAATCTCCTCTATCGGCTTATTCAGATTTTGCCCATATATGCTGAGGCTACGTAAGAAACATTCGTGTTGTGTGTTTACATCAAAACCACCCGCATAGTAAAAAATATGCATCATTGCTTATCTCCATCTTTTACACACAGTGTTTGCGAAGAAAAAGAAATGTATTATGTGACGCCCCGTATAATGCTTACTCTCATTCCGCAGAAAGCACACAAAATTTTAATTAGCACACAAAAAGTTATTCAATCAGGGTTTAAGATTTACCGAACTTTGTAAGTCAAAAAGTTCCAGTTATTAACAAGCCGAGGAATCTGCGAAGCATACGGTAACAAATAGACGTTCTGATGTTTGGGACAGGAAGTCGATTTTTGAATTTTGTTCAGACTTTTGTCTTTGACAGAAAGTGAAAAACGTGTAGACATTTTTCCAAGGATACTTTTCTTCCGGAAAAGTTGGGAACTTCCGGAAGTTACACAATCCTATCTGGCACCAAACTATTATAAATGAAATCAAAAGGATCAACACCGTATTTCCCAATCTTTGCTGCAAACTTATATAGCTCCACAGAAACTTTAGCCCAGTAAATAATATTAAATAAAAAAATTATAATCCTATACAACGGGATATTCTCCTTCCCTTTAAAAATTATAAAAGTGTCCTAGTTGTTTGCCACGCGAGACGTGTAGATGGCGACACTAATTAAGTAACCAAAATTCTCAAACAAAACAAAAAAAGTCCTGGTGTAGATGGTATCAAAGCTGACCATTTAAAAATAAAAGCCTACGACTTAGCCGAACCACTTTCTTACGTCATTAATTGGTGTTTCCAATCTGGAATTTGTCCTGATGCATTTAAAACAACTGTTATTACTCCTGTTTATAAAAGCGGTGACAGAATGGAAACATCAAATTATAGACTCATATCAGTACTATCGAATATAGCCAAAATTTTCGAAAAATTACTACAAAAAAGGATATTACAATTTTTGGAATAAAACAAAATTATATGTTCTGACCAATATGGATTTAGACAAGGAAAATCTACCACAGATGCAATTTTGGTTGCAATGGATGAAATTAACTCTAATGTCAACAAAAAGATACCTACTATTGGTATCTTTGTTGATCTAAAAAATGCCTTTGATACGGTTAACCATGTCGAGCTTCTGAAAGTTATGGAAAGATTGGGATTTAGGGGAGCGTCACAAATCCTTTTAAAAAATTATCTTTCAAGTCGGGCACAGACTGTCAAAATCACTAACACTTACAGAAAAAAAATGTACATCAAGTGTGGTGTGCCTCAAGGAACAGTACTAGGCCCACTATTATTTAGTCTCTACTTAAATGACTTATTCAAAATTAACAGTTCTGGAATGATTATATGTTTTGCAGATGACACCCTCGTATTATATAAAGCTGATGACTGGAGCACACTGAAGCAAATAGCTGAAAAGGATTTTATAAGGATCATTGACTGGTTTGATACTAAAATTTTAACAATTAACTTCAAAAAAACAAAATTTATTGCATTTACATCCTATTCAAAATTTTTACCTACCTTCGAACAAATTTCCGTTAATTATCATGGCCAAAAGACCAAAATCGATAGAGTTAACACTTTGAAATATCTTGGAATATTTATAGACTCACATCTAAGGTGGGATAACCATATTAAATATGTTATCAAAAAAATTAGAAATGTTGCCTATAAACTCAAAATGCTTGCTAACATTCTTACAGAAAGTTATCTGCGAATCCTATACCATGCCTTAGTTGAAACCCATATAATATACGGCATCACAGCCTGGGGTGCCGCCTGCAAGACATATATTTCTGACCTGAATATAGCACAAAAAACTGTTTTGAAAGCCATTTTCCATAAGCCAAGATTATATCCAACGAACAACTTATATCAAGAAACAGGGATACTTGATACAAGACAACTTTATTTCTTACATGCCACCACCTTATACCATAAGTATTGTAATAAAAAGAAAAAATCCTATAAACACGAGCATAACACACGATTTCGAATAGGCTCATCTAATATCCAAAGACCACACAAAACATTATTCAAAAAATCATTTAAATTCTTAGCAGCTAAATTATATAATGTAGTACCAAACGAAATAAAGATATGTACTTAATTTTGGAAAAAAATTTAGAAGAAAATTGAAAGACTGGGTTAGTAATGTGCAGCGAATGATTATACATAATTATATAGAAAACTAAAACTACAAAATTCCAATTACATTAATACCTTTTAGATTTAACAATAATTGTTATACACATATATGATTGATTGTTAGTTATTAAGATATAAACCACACACAGGCGATGCCTTCTGTGGTTTTTTCATATTTATTTGCCCATTTTTTGTATTTTGGCGAATAAATATTATTATTATTATTATTATTATTATTATAATTTACTAATGTCATCAAAGATACAAATCGTGACCGGCATGGGTATCATGTAAAAAACCTATAAAAAATCTATAAGATGTCATCTTACAAACTAGGTAGTTTTTAGGGACGCAAACTGTCATTCCATGTTTGCTCACTAGGATCATTGTGAACGTCCATCTAAGGAGGAATCACTCAACTAAACTACATGCATTATTGGTTGCATATGTTTTGTGAGGCCAAATGGTCCTTGTCTGTAGTTTTTATCTCTGAGAGGAAAGTTGGTTGAATAGCAAAATCACATCTGGATGATTATGTGTATTGGGTCTGCATGTGTATAAAATCAGTGATATTTGCAGTATGAGAAAATCATTACTGAATATGCTGCCCATGAAGTATATCTACTGGGTGTGCCCGACGGGTTATTTTTATGTTGTGCTTTTTGAAGAGAGGTTATGTTCAAAGCTATAAATTACGAGAAACGGAGGAGAATTACGGGAAATCATCACTGCGCCCGCGTTGTGTGTAGTTACTGTTAGCTTGTATGTGGCTTGTAATTCGACAGGGTACAGTGAATTTAATTATTTCTTATCTCTCTCATTTTTGGAATTCAGCAAATTTGTATATGTAATTTCCAGAATGGATAGGAAAAAGTGGCTGGGCAACTAATTTATAGCTTTGAATCTCAATCAAGTGTATTTGAGACAAGAACCGAATGTAATTATCATCAACACATCCAACTTACAGCTTAGACCTCCAGTAATGCCATCTCAGCAGATTTTACATGACATCAGAGCCAAAGATTGATAGCAAGCCTCATGGCATTTAGGCAACACGTACAACTAAGTGCTAAGTTAACATCTTGTAGAAAAACCTACATAATGTCAAAAAAAAAAAACGTTTTTAGTTAGTAACAGCTCCAAACGTAAGAAATCGCGAGAAACAGCTAGTGTAAAATAGAACCAGTGGGACGATGACAGACCGCGCTGTTGCCGGCTTGACGGTGACGGCGGAGATATCGGTACTCGTAGCGACAGTTAATTACAATATCGACAATGAGTCTAAGGATGAAACCTTGCATTTAGCTTTCCTTGGGTATCAATTAGTAAGTGTGAAAATGTTTAGGTCTCTCCATATTGTGCTCCAGACATGGTGCTGATAGAC